ACTCTTTCCTCACCTGAACGCAGGTTAAGGACTTAACTGGTATTTCATTTTTCTATTTTGAAATACCATCTAAGGATTCTTGGTTGGGTGGTGTAAATAGGGTATGGGCACCCTTATAGGAGAGTAATGTACCAGACTTGGCCTGATTCAGGCTGGCTCCATCTACTTGTCCCTGTTAAGGAGGGTTGTAGAAAGCAAGGACGGATCCCATTGTCCATTCTGTAGGCAGACAGGACTCCCCTAATCTTCTTTCTATGTGCTCTTGATAGTGTTTTAAGCCAACACTTCTTTTTCTTTGCCGGATTGGGCACCTCAGTAAGGTAATGAAGCATCCTTGTGTTGGGGCCACATTTACATGGTGATAGGAAGGTGGCCTGGAAGTTACTCCTGCTGGGGAGTGCATTTGCGTTGTGCCTTCTGAACTAAGCAGTGTTTTCACTTGCTATTTTTGTTTATGTTTATGTTTGTGAAAAGGAAAGAAGGGAGGATTTTCCAATAGTTTTTGTTGAGTGGTTATGTTACTACTCTCCAGATAATAGCTTTGGAAACATAAGCCCAACTTGAAACTGGCTTTTACTCAAGAAGCTGAAATAAAAATGAGGATCATAACAATAATAATCATAGTCATTAAAAAGGAGCTTCACTGTATGTGTGTATTGTGCTTCATTTGATGCATCATATTAAAAATATAAGAATTGGACAATAGATACAATACATCGTAGGTTTAAGAAGAGACCATTCTTCAATCTGCTGGAAATTGAACCATGGCATAAGAAGTGAAGCAATAAAAATGAGTGTTTATTTAAGAGGCAGTGGTTTCAGAGGTTTCCATGATGTTTCTAATGCTCATTATCTACAGCAGTTCTATTATTCACCAAGTAGAGGATGTTAATAAGACTGCTTTCACTGGCAAGCCTTCACTGGTTTTTGTTTGTTTTGACTGGAAACATGTATATAATATATATTATATGTCAGACATCACTACTTCTTGATATTTAATTGTTCTTGAATGTCCACAGATTCATTAATTAAGGTATGAGTTCCACAAATCATGCATTAACAAAATGATACATACAACCTGAAATGGCCTGCCAACGTAGTGATACATCACTTTTGGTTATTCAGGATAATGGAAATCATACACTTCTTTCATTAGGATCATCACTTGAAGGCATCCAGAAATGTCAGAGAATGTAATAATTGTGCATTTGCAGAGAACAGTCTGAAACTTTAAAAATCAGTGAAAATAGAGCTATTGATCTAATTTTCTATTACAGAGTATGCAACATGGTCACCATGGTTCTGTAATTCCTGGAATTCTTTCTTTCAAAAGATTTGTGCAATTTTTTATCATATATTGATTCAAGCCCAAATTTCAGAAAGGTAAATACAGGTGAATGCACATTTAAAAACTTTTTACTTATGCCGTGGATTAGGGTCAACATCTTTTGGCTTTGTTTAGTCTGATTAGGCAATTGCTTATTTGTGGGAATATTTTTATAAGGTAATAAAGAGTGTGAATGGAGGAATTTTCCAAATGAGCCTCATGTTCACTTCAACAATGTGTTTCTTTAGGAAATTTTTCTTTGGTTCTTGTGGTTGGCTGGAGATAAACTTGACCAGGTGGAATCTACTTACAAAATCTATTTTGAATCCATCTAGTTCCCTCCTTCTCTGGGCATCCACACTCACCAGATTCCTGGCATCTCTCAGGCAGCCTAGGCAATGGGCCTAGGACTGAGCTCCTGTTCCGTTCTCACCTCTCACCCAATCCTCCTCTCACTCAGCAACCTGACTGCTATTTTTGAAAGGATCGTGGCTTCCAATGTACTTGGAACAGAATCAAAACTGCCTGTTGTGGCTTCCAGGGAACTGCCTGATCCATTCCCTGTGTTCCTCTCCAGCCACTTCAAACACTCCTTCCTTCTCACATGCACCTTCTTTTGTTCTTCAAAAACCACCAGCTCTTTCCTGCCTCAGGTCTTCACTCAGTTTCTCTTCTGCCTGATTGGCTGCTTCTCATTCATCAGTTGGTAGCTTATGAGACCTTCTCAGAGGGGTCCTTTCTTCCTACTCCCTGACGCGGGCACTCTCATCCCCATTATTTTATCTGTCATCCCCACTTGCTGCCTGTATAGGGCTTAGTACCATGTGTCCGTTGTTATTTCTTAGTTGGAGTGCTTATATTGCCTTTCTCCACTTGACTGTGCCCTCTATCCAGGAGGTATCATGTCTATTTCATTTAGTAGCTTATTCCCAGCAATTTGCAGTGTGAATAAATGAATATATCTTTAAAACTTTTGTGCAAGTATATCTGCTGGATCAAAGGGCACATGTAGTACAGTTTTTAATAGGTCGTCATCCCAGAAGGCTATACCAGTTTACATTCCCACTGATAGTGTACGAAATTGTCCTTCCTCCCTCCCCTCCCCCAGGCATAATGTTTATTATAGATAATTCTTTTCTGCTTCTTATATGAGAAAATAGTACTTACATAAAAATATATTTTAGTTCTACTAAGAGATTTAAATGTTCATTTAAATGCTAATAATTTATCAGATTATAATAAATGGAAATAAAGTTAAGATTCTGAGCATAGCAATCTAAGAAAATGGACCCAGAACTAAGTAAATTCTGGATCTCGGTTAGATCCAAAAGACCTAGCATCCCTCCTGGATTTAACCTCATCCTGGCCTT